CAAACAAGAAAGTCCATTGGTTTTTATTGTACTTTTCCCTTTTTTTCAATTATACCCTTAATTAAAATCGAAAGGTCAAAAGTACAAGGGTGGTGCCTGATTGGTTTGAGCTTGACTTCAAATGTCAAAAGTATCTAGAGGTTCGAGGTTCAAATCCAAGTAGGAATAAAAATCCTCTTGTGGCCATAGCGGATTGGATATCTAGGTTAATAAAAAAAAACATCTTAAGTTCTATAAGTTCATTTATAGGGTTGAACTTGATAAATTCTATATTTTTATTGTATGATTTATAAACTTAAGCACATGTTTAAGCCAATAAAAAAGTTGACCGCTTTGGAAAAAGTATATTTTCATATGACTCGACTTGATTCGAAAACTCGATTCGGGTCGAACATTAGTGTTATGAATCTCAATATTTTAGGTTAAACTAGTTTAAATTTGTGTCTGATTAGATAACGTGTCTAATGTGCTGACAAGCTTATAAATGAAGTCGAACCTTGTAAAAGGGGTTGTTTGGTAATTTGCTCGGGTACGAGAAGGAAAAAGGGAAGGTTCGTTATTGTTAGATATTTGGTTTTGAGACAAAAGTTATTTGAAGTAAGGAGGTCATTTGTTCGAAAAGGAAAGATGGAAATTGGATAAAATTAATGTACATATTAAAAGAAGAACTCCAAGCGGTTTTAGTCGAGTTAATAGTTATCACATGGCGTTGAAACATGCAATTTACCTCCTTTATGATGGTTGTGAGATTGATACGAAAAAACCATTTCAAAGGGTGATGTTATACCTTTTTAATGAAGTTTTGAAACAAATGTGATTGATGGTCGCAACTTGCAAACCATTTTTTTCATTATTTTTTATTATTTTTTTTACCGTTATCAAGCACCACATGCTTTTATTACGAGTAAACTATGTTTTTCGTTTATATGGTTCATTAAAAACTGTTATTTTTGTTTTTGTGTTTTAGAAATTATGATATTTGTTTATATGGTTTGCAACTCATCGCTTTTTAACCACAAGGGTGGTGTCTGATTGGTTTGAGTTTGGCTCCAAATGTCAAAAGTACTAAGAGGTCTCAGATTCAAATTCAAGGAAAAATAAAAATCCCCTTGTGGCCACGAAGGTTCAAATGCGGTGACTCCGGGTTATCTGCAAAACATGTGGTCGTCCTGAAATTAATCGGCTCGCATAGTGGGTTGGATATAATAATATAAAAAAACTCATTGCTCTTTTCATCTCATTACAAAACCAATAAACAAAAAAAAAAGATGGATTATTTTGTGAAATAATTTTTAAGTTTTTTTTATTAACCTAGATATCTAACCCGCTATGCAAGCCGACTAATCCTAGGGCGACCATCTGCTTTGCAGATAGACAAAGTCACCACATTTGAACCTCCGTGGCCACAAGGGGACTTTTATTTCTTATTGGATTTGAACATGGGACCTCCTGGTACTTTTGACATTTGGAGCCAAGCTCAAACCAATCAGACACCACTCTTGTGGTTAATATTTTTTAAGTTACATACTCCTGGAATGAACAATATCATCTAGTGAGTTTATGCGTTTACAAATACGATAGTGATTTTTTTGTGGTGATATTTCATTCTATTTCTTCGTGCTGTAGAGGCGAGATATCAACGAGCGTACAACGGTAAAGGAATCGGGTCTACTACATTTGTCGAAAACAATTACAATTCAAGTATTCAAGAACTTTTAGGAACATTGTGTTAGTGTAAAAGAGAAAAAAACGATTATTCTATTTGTTTCGACCTTAACATGGTAAAAAGACGTTACTGTGACGATTCTCAAAAAGCTATCCAATTACGTGAAAGATATTGGATAAAAAGAGTTAAAAGTAACATCGTATTCTTTGTATCCTCTTTTAAAGTTGGTCCACAAGTTTTTGTTCTTGTAAATTCTAGCGTGTTTTTGGTATTTTAGCAAAAGAAATTATAGTTTGTAATTGTTGGGTTTTAGTTTGCGAAAATAACCGGATAAAATGTAGCGGAAAAAACAAAACCTGGTTACAAAAATGTTTGGAAAATTTTTCTAAATAAAACCCAAAGCCTGATCCATTGACAATTAAAACGAATCTACACAAACCATAGGGTGTTTAAAATATTTACCTTGTGGATGAAATTGAAACTTTGATGTAGCACTAAGAAACCAAATCAGGTTTTCTCTATCGGTTGTCCACACGCGAACACGTTTGGAACTCCGACCGCGTGCTAGCCCAAAAAATCCTAGTTCTATAATTGTATCGTAAGGGTTTTGAGGCTACAACTAGTTATCAGAACTCAATCCTCCACTTTGGTTTATCCCCTAAGCCTTATTTATATGGTCAGTCTTCGAGATTGACCATAACTCTTAATAAAGCTTAATCATTATCTAAAATGATTATTTATTTATCTAATAATATCTTATATAATTATTTGAAAACATTTAAGATAATTACATACATATTTATAGATTAAACCCTGTAATTATAATAATCACAAAACAGTATACATGTTTGGATTCTTTCTTTAGTGAAAGTATACGTGTTCTTTGTGTACGACCCTTTAGATTTACATGGCTCGTTGGCAATATATGTGAGTGACACGTGTCGTGCGTATAACATACAACTTACAGTAATAAAATACAGAATAAGCATATAACATTTAATATTTATCATTTAAAAGACGAAAAATATATGAAAACCACTGTCGGCCAAAGATATTCATTCGTTTGGTTTTTGGGTTCTCAGTTTTGTTGTTCTGTTTTCGAGTTTTTCTTATCAACCCGAACTGAGAACAAAAACGATTTCTCATTGTAATTTGTAAAACCAACCCAAATTTGTATGTTTGGATTGAATTCACTTCCGAACAAGACAACACAAATTCTAGATTTAGATGGTTTTTTGTAATATAGAAAACACGTCTTTTTCTTAAGTTTAAATCTGTATAAAAAAACTTTCAACTGCAAAATCAAACCGAAAACAAAACATAACATCTGGGTTTGGATTAAAACCATACTATAAATCAAAAACCGGTTTCAAAATTCGGTATGGTTCATTTAGAATGAGTCTAAACTTAAAATCAAACATTTTTTAAAAGACAAAGAAACATGATTTCAAACAATAAATAGTAGATATGGTAGTGAAGGTGAGAACATTGGGGATGAGTCAAAACTAGCATTAAAGTCTCAACCCCTAATGTGGGGACATTTTGGCCTTCCCTTGGCTTTAAATTGTTATAAACAAGTGTACAACTTTTAGTTGGATTTGTGCAAGGAGTTAAATTGCTTTAAATAATTTAGAATTTTGTATTATGATTTTGAATCTTTTTATATTATATATCTGTATCTAATTTAACAGTCTGATGATTTATGAATAGGTAAGGAAACTGATGAAAAAAGAGGTAATGGGCTGGGAATGGACCCTTTCCCTGCTCCTTATTTATGCCTCATGCCTCCCGCCCCCACCCTCACCCTCTATAATCTCTGACAGGTTTGAGAGGAAGAATCGTCGTTGTGTAAGGAGAAACTATTGGTTACCCATTTAGTAATTTATAACAATAATGTGTGTGTGTGTGTATATATATATATATATATATTAAATACTATATAAATATATTCATTTATCTAATTATCTTTTGAAAATTTTTATAAATTCTAGCCGGTCGTGCTTTTTTCTAATTTATAAGCGTACTATCAGTTTATCAATACTCAGAATCGATTGAATTTTTTGCATCATACCTAAACCTGAACATGCCTGACCTCAAACCGAAACCCGATAATCCGAACTCAAAGCAATCCGAAATCCAAAACCTAAAATTTGGGGTTTGATTTCCATATTGAAAATTTGAAGGGGTTTTTGATATGTTCATCCGAACCTGTCCGATCCAACGGATGCACACCCCTAT